AGATATAGATTAGATAGATAGAAAGAGAGATTAGATAGATAAAGAGATATAGATTAGATAGATAGAGAGATTAGAAAGAGATATAGATTAGATAGATAGAGAGATTAGATAGAGATATAGAATAGATAGATAGATAGATAGATAGATAGATAGATAGATAGAGATAGAGATTAGATAGATACGTAGGTAGGTAGAGAGATAGGGTAGAGGATAGAGATACGTAGGTAGGTAGATATAGAGGGGTGTGTGTGTGTTTAGAGGATAGATGGATAGACAGATGGACAGATGAAAGATTTGTAGGTAGGAAGTTAGAGATGGATGGATGAATGTATAGATAGAAAAAGAGAAAGAAAGATGAAAGGTAGGTAGATAGGAAGAGAGGTAGGTAGAGAGGGAGAGAGATGAAAGAGAGGTAGATATAGATAGGTAGGTGGATAGGTGAAGATAAATGATAGAGAAAGAAAAAAAATCTGTGATTAAAATAACACCTGGGGATTCTGGGAGTTGAAGTCTTTAGACTTCTGGAAGGCTACCAGGTCTACAGATAAAAATCTAGGTATAATATCTATAATCCATAAAAATACTTCGCTTAACATGAATTTTTAAGTTCCTTCCTTGTGAGCCCTCTTTCTTCAAAGCCCCTGGTCTGTTTCCCCTCTGGGAAACTTCTGGCGTGTCACTCACGTGTCTCCTCCTGTCCTTCAGCCTCCGTCACATCTTCAAACTCCAGACGGCTTGCAAGAAGATGCAGCTGCTCAACGCGTTGATGGACCGTGGCGGGAATTACGTGGCCGCCGTTCTCCCGTTCTTCCTCAGCTTGCTGGAGCGTGGACTGGGCCGGCGGTTGACGCTCCTGGCTCATCAATTGCCTCAGACACAACCGGTAACTTCACTAAAAACTTTTTTTCTTTGCTTGCTGAAAGAACCCAGTGCCCAGGATTGACCCACTTAAGGAACTGTCTGTCAGGCCTGCGGCCCTCTTTTCTTTTGGATCTTTGGCCTACCACACTTTCTTATTATTCTGCTATGCATTTTCTGTTGTGGGGAAATGGGAGGGGGGATTATACAGAGTTGGGTGATATGGAGTCATAACAACATTCTTCCTAGAAACTCAAGGTCATCTTTGTCTCTGCACCTGGCCAGAACTGGAGTCTGTCTTCGTGGCAGTGGAAGATTGGACCATGTGATGGACTTGTGGGTGTGGGGGCAAGATCTTGAACTTTCAACTGGGTGGGGAAAACCGGGTCCTTGTGTTTCTCCAAAAATAAGACCTATGTCAGGGTCCCTGGGGAGAGGGAAAAGAGGGTCACCAGTGAACCATAAATTACATGCGGCAGAGTTGACCAGTTCTAGGTTGCTTCTCTCCTTGATTAGTTTCCACCCATTGTTTCTTGTCTTGCTCTCAGGTGCTTTGGAGAATAGTTTGACTCTCTCTTCTTTGTGGCAACCCCTGAGATATTGGAAGATGCTATCATGTCTCTCCTAGTCCTTCTCTTTGTTAAACTAGACCTACCCAGTTCCTGCAACCATTCTTCATATGTTTTAGTCTCCAGTCCCCTCATCATCTTTCTTGCTCTTCTCTGCACTCTTTCCACAGTCTCAATATCTTTTTTTTAATAACACGGTGATCAAAACTGGCTGCAATATTCTGTGGTCTTACTAAGGCTTTATAAAGTGATATTAATACTTAATATCTCAAGGGCTGCCCCAAAGAAGAGAGAGTCAAACTATTCTCCAAAGCACCTGAGAGCAAGACAAGAAACAATGGGTGGAAACTAATCAAGGAGAGAAGCAACCTAGAACTGGTCAACTCTGCCGCATGTAATTTATGGTTCACTGGTGACCCT